TCTACCTTGCTCCATGCTCTCTGGCTCTAGGTTCCCTCTTGAAAGCTTGTAAGCCAGTCACTTCTTGCCTTTGAAGCCCCCCCACTTTGGATAGTGAATGTCCAAGTTGCCCATCCCTGTCTACTCTGTGTATGGAGGGGGTGGGAATGATCCCTGCTGCAGAGCTTTGTTCCCTGTTTTGAGCTACTGCATCCATAGGTGTAGGTCAAGTACATCTAATTGTATCAGGTTACTCTTTTTTTTCCCTCTTCTTTCTTCTTCTAGTTGACCTCTGATCACCCAGTCATTGAGGCTAGGTCAAATGGGCCCAAGGCTATATATCTTTATGGGAGCAGAAAGCCTCATCTTTCTCCCACAGAGAAGCTAGTAGGTTCAAACTGATGACCTTGCAGTTTGCAGCCTAATTCGTAACGACTACATGGGAATTCAAATCCCAAAAAATCTAAGATGCTAAGCTTGGATGTACTACTCTTAAGGATTTGTTGTTAAATGTTTGATTGGCTTGTAAATGAAGCCCCATTTTAGATAAAGTGCTTATAGTAACTCTAAAGAGATTTTCTGCATAAAAACTCAAGCATGTTGCAAACCCCTTCCTTCCCAGAGCCCAACAGAGGTATGAATTTGGGTAACAACTTCACTGTGTATATAAATACATTCTCAACCTCTCCTTCCACAACCCTATTATTTTTCTCTGCATTCTTTTTCTACTGATCATTTACTACCACCCAACACATTCTATGTATTTCCTTGTCTTGTTTACTGTTGGTGGAGTCCCTGGGTGATGCAAATGGTTACACATTTGACTACTAACCAAAAAGTTGGAGGTTCAAGTTCACCCAAAAGTGTCTCAAAAGAAAGACCATGGAAAATGGTTTGGTTTTCTTGCAGAGGCCTTGACCCTACTCCTATGGTACATTTCAAAAGTACCTGGAGAGGTGGCTGGCCCAGAGCAGGTGCTCCATTAATATCTATTAGGTCAAGAACAGAATGAACTTCATTGCCTATAAGAGCCTAATGATGGCAGGAACAAGATCAGTGGTTCAAGTCCTACCAAGAGGTCTTCAGTCCTCTCTTCTCCCCTCCCTCCTCCCCAGACACTCCTGACATTTGCTACAAGAGTCTGTATGTTCTACCTCTTTGCAGAGTATTGGCTGTGACGACTACCTGGGCTCCGACAAAGTTGTGGACAAGTGTGGGGTGTGTGGAGGCGATAACACTGGCTGTCAGGTTGTGTCAGGTGTGTTTAAACATGCCCTCACCAGCCTGGGTTACCACCGAGTGGTTGAGATTCCCCAGGGAGCCACGAAAATCAACATCACCGAAATGCATAAGAGCAACAACTATTTGGGTAAGTCTGATCGCTTTCCAGAGCCAACCATATGTTTGATTTATTCCTTCCAGGAATATGAGACGGATACGGCAGTGCCACTAGGGCAGGCCGGGAGTGCCATCTGGCCACCCCTTGGAATTAGTGAAGAAATTTCACTGTTGGAGGAAGTAAAAGAGTCTATCTTGCAAGGAAATGTTTGTCATCTGCATATTTAACCCCATCTTTGCTTCTTACAAGGAACTTTGGTGGCAATGTGGGGTAGGCACTGGGCAGCTAGCTGCAAAGTTGGCAGTTAAAACAAGGGGAAAAGATGAGACTGTCATCTCCCAAAAAGATTTGCTATCTCAGAAACCCTACGGAGCAGATCTAATGTGTGCTAGAGGGTCACATGAGTCAGAGTCAACTTGATTTTGGAGGGCTTTATTTGGTTTTGCTGCTTAAAGAGAAGGATGGTTGTTAATGAGACAGGAGACAAACTTGTTTCTCCAAAATCGGAGAGGCCTGGACTCTGTCAGCCTTTGTACTGTTGGGATTTGAGGGGGCCAGGAGCAGTCAGTGGACCTACCTGGCCCTTTATCCCGTATGAGTCTAAAGCATAAGTCATCTTTTTCTTCTTTCTGCTCTAGTTGCCTGAGGCAGTGGGACTCTGGGTAAGAACTCTGGGTGTCTTCTGAGCAGCTTCAGAGTTTGCAGGACCCCTCAACAATCATTGTGAGCAATATCATAAATACAGAAAGTCCATTTTTAACCCATTTTCTTGAAAAAGGAGATCTCCTTGATACATTTTTCTGGGTTTCCAGGCTGTTTGCATTCTGTGCAAAGCACACCAGTCATGCTCATTCATTTTTGTCCATTTCTAATTCCTGTGTTGTTGTAAGCTTCAGGACAAGCACTGGACTGCTAACTGTAAGGTTGGTAGTTTAAATCTACCTGTCACTTTATGGGAAAAAGATGAGCTTTCTGAACCCATGAAGTTACACAGCTTTGGAAAACCTGTACAGAGATGCTGTGAGCCACAATCCACTTCATGGCAGTGGGCTTAGTTTTTTATTTGGGGTTTGTTTTTTGTTTTTTTTTTCACTGTATTCTTTATAATTTCTTATTTGCTTTAATTATTATTTTTTAATTGTGAAGATAGACAAAATGTATACCACATCAATCATTTCCACATGTATACTTCAGGACATTGCTTCCATTCTTCAAGTTGTGTTGTCTTTCTCATCAAACTTTTCCGAACTGTTTCACCATCTTTAATGTAAACTCACTGCACAATAGAATTTCACATTCCCCACAGGGTTTTCTAAGCTGTAATTTTTGTGGGAGCAGTTCAATAGGTTTGCCTTAAGCATCACAAATTGACAACAGCAACTCAAAAAATGATGTAGGGGCAGTGAGTTTATGTTAGTGGGGGAGAAACACCTTAGAGAAGGGAGATGAGATTGATGCCCAACTCAAGAACATAATCAACATCACTGAATTGTACATGTAGAAACTTTTAAATTGGTGTCTGTTTGGCTGTGTGTTTTCTCAACAATAGCAGAATAAATAAATTTTTAAAAGCAAAGAGAGAGACTATATGGACATTTTTCAAAACCCAGGTTCCTCTAGCACACTGTTGGCCAAACACTC